GCCTTGGCCTTCCTAACCATCCCCCTACATCCCCGAGCAACTGTAGAATAGTTCTCCTTAGTGATGAACCCTCCTTTCCATTGGGAGTAAGCCTGTTGTATTTTTAGTTTACTCACCTTGGTGATCTCTGATTAAATGACTGGAATAGTTTTGTTTATTCAAACAGAAATCATCTCAAAGTAGCGAAGTAGCACAGAGCCCCTCTGTACCAATTCAGTCTTCTCTTCCATAGCACCAACCCTAGAACCTCTGCTATGGAAAGTGTCCTCACCAGGCCTGCAGCTGTTGTGGAGGTTGAAAATGGGGCAGTTTTATTAAAGGGGGGGGGCTTTGGGTTAGAGTTTCAGTGCAGTGTAGTACTGCCACGGCTTCTGCAAGTGGTAGCATGATGGAGTTCTTACCTTCATAGGCAGGAGAGAACTGTGCTGCACCACCACCCCTCATCTTGGCCTTGAGTTGGCAGGATTTTTATTTTGCCTTGAAGCGGAAGGAAGCTATTGGCACAAGATCAAATAGGTATAAACCCGATCACAAACAAATTTAGGCTGTTTTTTAACCATCAGAAGCATGAAGGCTCCAATTACCTGGAGCCTCCAATCATCTTTTGCAAGTGAAATGGATTTCTCTTTTAATTAAGGCAAAAAGATAATTGCTTGTTTCATAGTTCTCACTTCTGGGTGTGGCTATGGCCCGAGGAAACTCATTTTAAAGCTGAAGCATGGAGCTTAAAAATGTTTTGTCCGTGTTTTATTAAAATGTGTGCTGTTTGTCATGACTCGCGTGGATGTGCCGTCATAATTTTGAAATGGACTTATTTTTAATGTTTATTCGAATTAAATGTACATCTTTGTAGTAATAATCCATTAGCGGTATTAAATGTATAGTGTTAAATCCTAGGCATCATTTTTAACACTGAGCCCTCTTTTTTTTTTTTTTTTTTTTTTTTCCCCAAGCCAAAGAAAAATCCCCCCCGAACATAATGCTTTTGTAAAACTATAGTGTATAATGTTCATGCAAAGCAAATGGCTAGATCTTACAATATAGCCAAAACATCTCATTTCAATCAGTAATTGATTTTTTTTGGATGTTTTTGCCTCCCATTATTTCATGTCCATAGTTTTCATAAGCACAGTTTGAGGATGTTGAGTCATTTAAACCCTTTTTTTAAGGCACCATGAACAAGGTTGATTTTTTTTCTTGTTTAAGCACATGCAGTTTTAGGTAGGTTTCAATACTTTGTTTTCTGCTTTGTGGAATTTGAAAATAAAATGCATTACTGTAATTTGAAGCATTTAAAAAGGTTTCCTACCCTCAGTTTTAATTCAATTGTATTTGGACCTTGGCTGACCACCCTCTGATTCAGTTCTCCTCCTTGCTCCGAAAATGGTACTGGAAGTACCTTATCTAACTACGGGTAACATCTGCTTTCCTTTTTTTTAAGTAAGATGGAAGTGAGGAGGTGGAGAACAGAAGAGTGTTTTCTGTGCTTTTTCATGAGCTGTTTCAAATGGGTATACCTCTAAAAGTCTCTGTGTAAATGGGAACCCTGTTGTTTTCCTCTAACATAATTGATACTTTTGTGAGATGTTAACTGAGAACACACTAAAGTTTTCATTGTACCTCATGTTTCTTTTTCTAATGTATTTCAAACCTGGGAAGTTGTACTTGGGGAAGAACTGGTTACCAGAAAGCTTTGTCTTGCTTTTTTTTCCTGTTTCTGCAAAAATGGTTTTGCATAGTAAAAAAAAAAAAAAAAACAAAGTAAAAAGTTCTTTGCAACTGAAACAGTCTTTTCAGTGGAAGTAGAAGCAATTGTACGTTTTGTTATACTGACGCCTGAGGTGTGAAATTACCTGATATTCAGTTAATAAGAAATGTAGTGTAGTAGGATTCTTGCTTTTCAGTGCGTGTTAATATATTTTCTATGTAAGGATCAAGCAGAAGTGCAGTACTTCTAAATTTACCAGATTCAAAGCAGTTTAAAAATAAGGCAATTTACATTTCTTGCCATGACACAACTTCATAGCCATATAGCTGGAAACTGTACTGTCTTTTACTGTGAATAACATTGCTTCTCATAAGCTAGCTGGCTTAATCGTTATGTAGGAAGTCTAAAGAATGGATACTGTAAGAAAAGTAATCTCAGTGATTTGTTAGCTGTTGAATCAGTGTGGTACAGGACAGTTTGGTGCTAGAGATGCTGACTTTCACATGCGATCAGGATTTCGGTTTTACTTGTCATTATAGATGGCAAGTACTGTTCATAAGTAGGCTGCTCTGTGCCAGTATCCCACTGTAGTAATGATGATCATGTACTATTCTCAGGCCCTTTGTAAATCTGTGTAAAGTTTACTTCCATGTATTGTATTAAACTTCTGTAGAGGTGCTTTTAGACATGCGTCGCAATTCACCCCAATGAGATGACATTTCGGGGGTAGAGGACATCATTTGTGTATAACTTGTTATATCAGCTTCTTTGTCAAATATTTTGGGATCCTTTGGAGTAACGTATTAAATAAATATAGTAAAAACTTCTGCAACACTGCTTCCTGGTGACTTTTTAGTTTAACTATATCTATTGTGTGTATACATGTTATGAATTAGCCACAGTCTAGGT